TTTCAGAGTGAAAGCAAACTTCACATTACAGGGGAAGAGAGAGTTTAGTCTTGTAAGCTTCTGTAAATCAGAAGTTTCACAGCCCAGGGATTGCCTGTAATTGCTTTGATGAGCTTATGCATGGGGTTTAATAGGAGACACTGTCAATTTATAAAAAGGATGCTCATCTGCCTGTAGGGCATCTATCCCATAAATCTGAAAATATATTAAATTGTTCCGGTATCAGAACATGGGACGACAGTTAGAAGACAAATCTTGTCCTGTGCTCTCCCAGAAGGCTTTGCTTCCCCCTCCAATGCGGAAACTGGTTCTGGCCTTGAGGTGCTGCTGAATTGGCTCCAATGCCCAGCAACCCTGTATAGAAAGAAGGGACCAAGCCTGGCCTCTTCCGGGGCCACGGTCATGACTGTTGGAGCTGTGATGCACAGACAGAACCAAACCACTCACTGACCTCGAGTGGGCTCTGACTCCTAGGGACTGTCTAGAACCACCCCTGTGGGTTTCCAAGGCTGTAAATCTTAGAGGGGAGTAGAAAGCCTCATCTTTCTCCCACAGAGACCTGGTGGTTTTAAACTGCTGACCTTGTGGGAAGCAGCCCAATGCATAGCCCACATGCCCCCAGAGCTCCTCACCATAAAAACAGAGAGGGAGCGTTTATTAAGGGCTTAGGACTTATTCGTTCTGGTTGGGTCGCCTGCTGATAATTTGCATTTTCTACCCCCTATACGGAATTGAAGTCTTCATTTTAATGAGATTCCCCAGGTGATTCGTAACTGTTTTCTTTGCGGTATCTTGGTTTGCTCTTCGATGTATGTCGCTGTTGTGGATTCCCATCACGTGGGCTGGGCCTCATGTCGGCTTCAGTCGGGCACAGTGGAAGGTCGCCCCGCTCGTGCCATAGTTACAGTGTGGATCTGCTTTCATGTAGGTATGTTTGGGTGTGTTTCAGTCCATCTCATTTGGGGCTTCCTTGGTTTTTGCTGGCCCGACCCTTTAACAAACATGATTTCGTATTTTTAGCCATTTTGTTCCTGATGACATGTTCCATGCAAGTCTTGCCATCCTTGCTTCTACAGTGTATTCATTCCAGGTGCGATTTTTCCAAGACTCGTTTTGTTCCTTCTTCTGGTATTGTAGTCAATATTCTCTGCCGACACAAGCTGACGCGTCCATTCTTCTATCGTCTTTTCCCATTGTCTTGTTTTTGCACGTATGTGTCCAGTTGCCATTGAATCGATAGGAGCCTATTAAAAAGACTATGGCTTTGGTCATAGGACTCTTGTGGCATAGTGTTTATGCACTGAGTTACGAACCGCAAGGTCAATAGTTCCAGTTTTACCAGCCATGTCACTGGAGAAAGGTGAGGCTTTCTATTCCTGAAAAGAGTTACAGTCGTGGAAACTCACAGGGGCAGTTCTACCTTGCCCTACAGAATCACTACAAGTCAGAATTAACTTGATGGCAGTTAAAAAAATTATTTTTTATGCCTTTGGCCAGTTTCACTGTAGTCATTAAAGTAACAACTTTGTTTCTTAGGACTTTAAAGAGGTTTTTTATAGCAGACTTGTCCAATATAATATGTCACCTGAAGTATTGTCTGTCGCTTCTACAGATTTTGAGAAAGAACATTCTTGTAAGAGGTGAGCTTCTTTCTGTGTTATATTTAAATTGTTGCCCAAGACGTCTTTCAGGATTTCTCACTTCATGCACAGCAGGTCTTATCTTAACCCTGGGGGCAGTGGGCTTCAGCTTACATTTACTGTCATCTCTTGAGGCTTGTGGCTCCTGCTTTGATTCTTGTGGTTACTTGGTCCCTTCCAGGTGCTTATGCCTTGAGCAGGTTGATACAACTTATCATAAATATAATACAAAGTTATGTTTGTTACAAATGAATTGAGACTCCTCTTCTTGATTGAAAGATACATTTCTGTAGAGCAGTGTTTTTTCCAAACTCTTCCGTGAAACAGACCCATGAACTTTTAGTAAGTTTTCTATGAGAAAAGTGAGTTCCTTGGTCACATGACCTAGAGAACCACTGCAGACCATAGCTTCCTGCTGGGAGCTCACAGTAAAATCACTGTAATAATGAATGTGCTGAGAAGCTCGGCAGAAATGAAACCGAAAATGTTATGTATTTGCCTTCTAAGGGCATTTGTCTGTGGAACTCCTTTACTTTGAAATATCTATTCATATCTCAAAGACTACTAGTTATCTGTCAAATACAGTTTCAGAAATGGTTCTTAGAACTTGGATCATAAATTAGCTACCATCTCTATTTTCATTTTCAGCAGTAGCTTTTATTATATTAATTCTGATTGAACATCAGGCCACTTGAACATATACTGTTACCTAGAAAATAAGATAATTTGGAAAAGGATAACAATAATGATTGTACAACATGAAAAGTATAATCAATGACACTGAATTATACATGTAGATGTTGTGGAATTGGAGAATGTTTTGGGGTATATATTTTTGCCACATTTAGAAAACATAATAATTACATGAGCAACATGAATACAAGGAATATGTTCTAGAATTAATGTGGTGATAACTTTACAACTTGTGTGGATATGATTGAATTATTGAGTTGAATGGTATGTAGATGAAATACTGATAAAACTGTTAAAAAAAAAGAAAATAAGTAACTTGAAAGGATTATCTGATTAAAACTATGCAGCTAATGAACTCAAAGGAGAATTGGCAGGAAGTTATAATTGCCAATCAGAGGTAAAAATGAATGTTTAGAAATCCAGAGCACATATGAAGAAGCAGTGTGGGAGCTAGACCTGCCCTCTGGCTATACACGGGGGATGGAAAACCCACCTCCACATCTGTCCCACGCTGGTTCCTGTGAGGCACAGTCAGACATGGCCTCCGTTCTCTGTCTGTCTTTATCGTGATAGGATCTGTCCATCCCAGGGCACCTTACTTTTCTGCTGGGTTCGCTGATCCATTGCCATGCCACAGGACACACAGACAGTACTCACAATTATATGGTTTATTAAGGAAGCTAACAGGTTTCAAGTCTAGATAATTGAAAAAAAAAAAAGAATACAGTTCATTGGTCCACAGTACCTCCTCTGATACGGATGCCAGAATGACCTGGCACAAATCTAATTTTTGTATGATGCCAAAGGTGATGTCTTTTTACATACATTTCCCCTATTTCATTTCCAATGTGTGAACATTTCTAATGACATCTACTTGTCTTGAACACCCTCCACATGTTGTTGTTTAAAACTGGGAAGTTAGTTATCCATGACACTATGTAGTTTTTTTGTTTGTTGGTTGGTTAGCCCTTTAGTCTGGCCTTCGGGCTCTGCATTGGGCTGCTAACTGCATGTTAGCAGTTTGAAACCACCACTTGTCCAATGGGAGAATGCTGGGTGGGGCTTTCTATTCCCATAGAGAGTTACAGTCTCAGAAACTCACAGGGGCAGCTCAACTTGCCCTGCAGGGGCAGGGAAGAAGAAGGAGATGGAGAAGGGGACAGAAAAAAGGAGAAGGAGGGGTGAGAAGAAAGGGCAAAGAGGGGAGAGAAAAGACAGAGAAAGAGAGAGGAGAGTGAGTGAGGGCTCTCTTCATTTAAAATCAGTACATCTTCCATCTGGATTAAGCCAGGGGATGATCCAAATTATGCGTGCTCATTGTGTATCTGTTGTTTAATATACCACAGACTCAGAGAGTAGCCTCGATGAGATGGGAGCAGGACGTGTAGGTGCTACAGTACTGGGCTATCAAAATTTTATCTTCTTCTGCATCTCATTTTTCACATCTCCACCTGCCTGTCATGTTCAAGGGAATGTTTTCTAATTCCACTTCTCTCTGTTAGTTACTTGTGTGCCTAAGTGAGAGGCATCATTTAATTTGAAGCATCATTTCAGCACATTGTTATTTGATTCTCTTGGTAAAATTAAACAGACCCTATGAGTTAACAGATTATGTTATGGGAATAGGCTGGATTTAAGAATATGCTCCCTGCTACTTGGACCTGGTGATGAATGAAACAAATGCCACCTTTGCTTGCTAATCATCAACCAATAAAAAAGTCACTTGGACTGAGTTAGAGCTTTGTGCGAATTACAAAAAGTGGTCACGTCTTGGAGGATTGTGAATGACACCCTCTCAGGGTCGAGAGAGTAGAAGAAAGGGGCTGCTTCCTGAGGTTCCTTTAGCTAGCTGAGTGGGAGCTGATGCTAGCTCCCAAACACTCCTGGACCCTGTGCTACTCTGCAGTGCATGGTCCCCATAACCCACATGGGAGTTTTGCCTCTAGTAAAGGCAGACAGGCACTAGCATTCTGTTCTGTTTTTATCCCTCCCCATCTTCAACCTTTTCATTGTTTTCTTGCTTTGTTTTGTTGATTGATTTGGTAAAAGTTCATCCATTTTGATGATTGTGTTGGTTGTGATATACAATGAAAGGGTTCGAATGATGATCATTTGATTTTAGGCTAAACAAAACGAAATAATCTCAATGGGAGCTCAGTACACCTTTCCTCTCCCAGCATGCAATGTATGTACATACATTGTAAACTGTTTCCTTAGAGAGAAAAAAACATCTCCTGGACAGAAGTCCACGAAATCACTTGGAAAGCCTTGCTATTTCAAAACAATTTCTTTATAGCCATATCATCAAATGACTTCTTGTGTTTCCTGCAGGAAGAACTGTGAATTAAGTTATTTATTATTATGCATCAAGAATAATTGTAGTTAAATGGTATCTTCTACACATGTCTTCTACTTTAGAGTGTCAGGAGGATGCTACCAGTTACATGCTCAACTACTACCTGAAACGGTCGGTGTCTGAGCGCACCTAGAGACATTGGGGGAGAAAGCCCACCATTGAAACCCAGTGGCCTGTAGTTCTGCCTTCCCCCCTGGGGTTGCTTGAGCTACAGTGAATTCCATAGCAACTTTTCAGTTTTTGTGTTTAGTAATATACAAATAATAAGGGGATCCATAGTGAAAACTTTTTTGTTGCTTGGCTCTTTCTAGGTGATGTGGTCCATATCACTGCTCCTGATAAATTCACCTTCGAGGAAGCAGACGCAGCGTGTGAAAGCCAGAATGGCCGGCTGGCGACGGTGGGAGAACTCCACGCTGCCTGGAGGAACGGCTTCGACCAGTGTGATTACGGTTGGCTGTCAGATGCCAGTGTGCGCCACCCTGTGACCGTGGCCAGGGTCCAGTGTGGAGGTGGTTTACTTGGGGTGAGAACCCTGTATCGTTTTGAGAACCAGACAGGCTTCCCTCCCCCTGATAGCAGATTTGATGCCTACTGCTTTAAACGTAAGTGTTTGAGAACTTTCTCCCTCTTTTTAAAAAAATGACAGTGTTTAAATATTACTTTGAGCACTTATGGGCCATGCAGATAGGTTCCAGGTCTTGCACTGTGTGCATGGGGGTGGAATCCACTCAATGACTTTCAAGAGCAGGCAAACGGCAGGATAATGGCGCACTTAGAACAGCGCAACTTTTGACCAATGGGTTTCTTGAGGGAATGAAAGGGCAGTTGCTGATCTTAAGGGTGCCCCAGTGTGCCTAGAATCACATCGAGGGGTGCTCAGTAATTTCCTGTTATCTGCATCCCTTAAATGCAATTAGACGGTTGGTGCCCTGTCCCGGGGGCATGAGTGGTTGCATGAGATCCTGGAAGTTTGCTTATCTTGTTCTTTGGATGCCTCTCCTCCTTTGAAATGGTGGGGGATTTAAATACCAATGATGGCAGGTGAGTATGGGGGTTGGCCTTCATTTTTAAGTTATAGTTAAAAATGAAGCATGCAAAAAAAAAATGAAGCATGCTATGAATAAAAATAGCCACTCATTTTTTTATTTCAGATAATGGAAATATGCGTCCTCTAATGACTTTACAGTATTACAATGAAGTAAAATGTATAATCCTTGCAAAGTCTAACTTAAAAAATACCTGCCATTAGGTTAACTGTTTAAAGTTAGTTTCAAGCAACTTTTCTCAACATTTATAATCTCATTATTTTCAGATGACCTAGAATTGTAATAACCATGGGCAGCTTATGGAACAAGGAAATATTCTAGAGTCTTCCTATAATACTGTAGGGTCTATAGTGGACTAGCTTAAAAATCCTGGCAGCCTTAGGTATGTACAGGATGGAGATCTGGTAAACATTTAAAAGTAGGTTTTCAAGACACTTTGTAGTAGCAATGTGGTATAGTAGATTATACATTGGGCTGATAACCGCCTAGCTCAGCCAATCAAAACCACCAGTGGTTCCACGGGAGAAAGACGAGGCTTTCTACGCCCACAAAGAGTGACAGTCTTGGAAACGCACAGGGGCCAGTTATACCCTGTTTATGAGTCAGAATTGACTCGATGGCTGTGAGTTTTGAGTTTCACAAAGTTCATTGTAAACTGGAATGAAAGACAATGGGATTTAGTTAAATATACCAACTGAAAAGACACAGAGCTTTGATGTCTAAGCAGTCAGCAAAGAAAAAATAAGGACAAGAACTAAGAAATTGCTGCCTGGATTGTCTCCCTTAGACTCAACTTTCTGAGTGTTCCAAGCCACCTGTTGTGTGTTCCGTTTGAGACAAACTAGCTGATCTAACAGGGATCACTGAAAAGACTCACTCCCCACCCCCCATCTTTTTTGTCTGTAGACTCTGAAACAATAGACTCATCCTTAAGTATTTCCAAGGGAGAAAAACTGACAAAAAACCTTCTTCCTGAAAATAAAACGACGTGTGTCCCCATAGGCTATGCTACCTTAAGTAGTTCAGATTCTAAAAGCAATTACACATGTTGATTGATAGGATTAAGGAATAAAATAGGGTTCCCAACTAGTTCATTCTGGTTCTATCTTTGGCTGAGAACTTGTATTTCCATTCCAGATAGACTCCCTCAAAATCAATGTTTTCAATAGCTTCCCCAGATGATCCCTATGGATCCCCAGGTGATGCTTATGTATATATAATATGTATGGGTCCCTTGTGCATATGTAGATCCTGATTCAGGATAGCTGGGGATAAAGGACAGATTCTCAGTAGTGGGTTGAACCAGAATGAATTTAGTTGGGAACTCTAAAACAAATTTCATATATGGCAGGGTTAGAAGTTGGAAAAATTATTCATTTCAACTGCCTTGCTTGATTATATGCTGTCCTTATAAGGGAGCCCTAGTGGAGCAGTAGTTAAAAGCGCTTGGCTACTAACCAGAAGGTCAGTGGTTTGAACTCACTAGCTGCTCCACGGAAGGAAGATGGTGGCAGTCTTTGCCCACGAAGCGTCACAGCCTGGGAAACTGTACAGGGCGGTTCTACTTCACTCCGCACCACGCGCGGAACTCTTCATGTTGGATGACAGTGGATTTGGGTTTGGTGCTTGAAAAAACTAGCATTAGGAAACATTTAAACAATATTAAAAAAATAAAAATCTAAACAATATATTTTCTCTCCCAGGGTAAAATTTAAATCAAAGCCTCTCTATAGCCACAAAAAAGAACTGTTACAAATTCATCCTGATGTGTTTTAAATTATGTATTTAAATGAGGAATTCATATGAATGTGGGAGAAATAAGTCACGTGACTTCCATTCAAGTAGGATCCTCATTAATTGAAAGACTACTGAAAATGCAAACAGAGAAAGCATAGGTTCTTTTTTTTCCCTCTTTAATTCATTTGACTCTAGATAGGAATATAATGAATTAGGTTTTTTTTTCTTTCTCAACTGAAGCTACATATTCAAGATCTTTATTCATTTCTTCCATAGCTAAGATGCTCTCATATTCAAAATCTATTCCACATATAAAATAATTAAGAATATTTAGAACAGAAGCACACAATGTCAATAATTAGCCTAAATTTAAAATTAACTTTTCAAAGACTCTTTTAATATGCAATGGAGCTTTAAAAAGTTTGTGGGAAAATTGAGTGAAAAGATAATGGAATTTTCCAGGATTTTTTTTGAAACCTCTTCATGTCTTTTAAAGAATTAAAAAAAAATTCACATTTGTGACTGAATTCTATCATATAAAACAAGTGAGGGTTGTGCTCTTAGTTACCACTCCAAAAAATATTTTCAGAAACTTGCTTTAAGGAGTTACATGCATAAATTAAAAAGTATAACCATATCATTCTGTTCACTGCTACTGAGTGTGGCATTTTGTAGGCCATCCTTGGTGTCTGAATAATGCCAAGACAAATTTGGCTATAATTCCCAATCCTTAAAGGGAATAAAACATTAAAAATTACTGAAATAGATGAAGATTAGAATCTCTTCTTGCGTGGCAAAGCCAAATTGATTTAAACAGATAAATTGGTGACTTTGTGGAACAGTTTCCTTGCACATTTTCCCTTGATGATGAAACTCAAATGCACATATTTTATTTGACCTCAATGTTAATCAAGTTATATGAAAGTGAGAGAGTTATAAAGGACTTTGAAAGATCTTCCTAGTCATCCCCCAATTCAAGGGACTTACAGACATTGATTGCTCATGAACATTTCCCATTAAATCTTATCAATGATCTCTAGAGAAGGATTTAGGTCATGCGTCCTGGGAAACCCATTCTTATATTCTATGGCCATCATTGTCAGATTGCTTTTTCTCATCTGAATGAGCCTTGGAGTGTGATCCCATTTTTTCTCTACAAAGTGGGGAAATAGTCATTTCTATCATGGAACACAAGCGTTCAGCTGTATCTCAGAGCCTTGACCAACTGAAACACTTTCCTTGTTTGGATTGTGCCAATTCTAAGCCCTAATTATCTGTGTGATCTCCCTGGGAACCTCCGCTGTTTTTCAGATCCTTCAACTTGATTTGTTTGCAACTAAGAATAGTAGTCTAAAGGGTACATTCGTCCCCACCAGGGAATATGCTATATTACGTCCATAGTATCTCACTTCTGCTGTTGGCCTGCCGTCTAAACTATAGTCAGTTTATGATCTTTGTGTGTGCGTGTGTGCTCCAGATCATAATCTGACCATAAGTGCTGAAACTCTCTTTCACTAATTGTTATTTCAGGAATATGTATTTCTGGGCATTAGAATGGAATCTGTCAGCATTCCGTCACTCATATAACTTTTAAAAGATAGCTTGCCTTCTAGTCCCATTGCTCCAACTTCACCCTTCCCTCCACCGTGATCCCTGAATCAACCTATTGAATAGCCACCCTGTTGATAACTTCCCAAGTTTGCATTTATTTATGTCTAGCAAACTTAATGTAAGAGAATCAATGGAAAATGCGTCATCTGGCTTTAATGTAGGCAGGATGGGTATGAGTTCAATTGACGATCAAGCTGCTAATAGAGTGTTTATATGTTACTAGGGAACTCTGCCTCGTGTCTCGTAACAGAGGCACACAGAAGATAGTTCCTAGGACATCAGTTACCACAAGTCGAGTGATGTGGAGCAGCTGTGTGGCAGGCAGCCGCAGTGTTTGCAAGAAAGCATTTGGGGGGACTTCATTTCTCAGTAATGAAGATGAGGGGCCACTGGCTCTCCAAGACCAAAGCTTCCTTCCCCACGTGAGCGCACCTGCAGAGGCGCGCAGGGCGAGTTCTCGGGAGTTGTGCGCGTTGCCACCTTTGCAAATGTTACCATTCCTATAGTGGTATTCATGTCGCAGTCATCCCTTTGGAGAGGTTTGTGTTTGCAAAAAGGATCGTCCCTTCGCCCACCATGGCTGAAATGAAATGTCGCAGATGACCATCAGCTTCCCTGGGCTGTGAGGCAAAGCAGTGGTGACGTTGATGGAAAGCCATCCAGCTCTCAAAGGAAGTCTGAAGTTTTTCATACCAAGTCATAAAATTACTTACATTAATTGTAAGCTGACTTTTTAACGGAGTCTAACTTGATGGAAAAGCCCTGTTTCTTAAAAAATAAAGTCCTATAAAGTCCTGGCTTAGAAAAGGGGAATCTCTGGACATACTGTTCTCACTTCACCACTCTGTGGACAATCACAGAAGATAATGCCAAACTGGAAAGTAATAATTGGCAGTGATATACATTTATTTATATATTTTAACAGCCCAAGTCACTAATTTTTCAAAGGCTGTAGAGCTATTTTCTTAGCACGGGAAGGATTTGGTAGTACAGTACTGAGTTGGAACATTAAGGAGACCTAATTCACAGACCCTCGTTTGACCCTTATACAATACCACTCCCTTTCAGTAATTTCATCAGCTATGGAAATACTTGGAGGGAAACCGTGAAATTAACTTTCTCTTTATTATTGATAATAATATGATTAAATTTTCTCTTCAGTAATTTGCTAGGTGCTTATATTATGCTTCCATGGGAACTTTCTCTATACCTTTCTTTCACTGTCTCCCTTAAGAATGAAGTTATAGGACACACTGGACATTTGGCGGCAGTTAAATGAGGTAACCACTATAGAATTTCAGAGAATAGAGAATTGAATTAAAAGGAAAATAGTTAACCACCTTTCAGGTCCTTACTCTTTTTTTTTTCTTCTCATGCCAATCAAAACAGACTGAAGTTCCAGCCAAGATGTAAAAAAGGGGCAGGACCTCTTTTCTGAGAAAGGGGCAAAAGGGGGTTATTTATCATTTAAAAAAAATTCAAACCTCTTTTTTATGTTTAGCTTTCTTTAAAGATAAACATAAAAATAGTGACAGGCTGGAGGGAATATTTAAATACGACATAGTATAAAAGGCCACTGAGTGTTCATTATGAAAATCATGAACTTGGGCTTTAACAGGGTCTAGAGATGGCCACAGCTAATAGCAGCTCATGCCAGTAAAAGGTAAGGAACTTATTAAGTTCTGACACAGCAAATTGAGTTAAAAGGTGCCTAATTTCATTTTCCAGGGCCTTATTAAAAGTAAGACACAAGATATTATAGACACTACAGCTATCAGAATTCTTAGGGATAACAGACATTACCCCGACAGCTCACTTTAAATCATGTAGGTGTTAAAAAACAATGGCTGCAGAGTAGGTTTTTTCTCTTTGCTTAGTGGAAGGTAGGGTTTGATTTTCCAGAGTACTTTTTTAAGGAAAGCTTTATGTGCTAGCTTGCTGATGTTTTCCTTATGTTGCAAAAGAATCTCATATACAACACTCAACTTCTACACATAAATTAAATTTCTTAAAACCAGTCAGGCTCTTCTTTGGCAACCTGGAGGCATCCTATTGTAGCAAGTTATGAGATCACACGTTACCTGTTCTTGCCTGAGTCTATTCATTCTGATGTCCAGGGTTCTGTCTGGCTATTTGTAATTACAGGTGTAAAATATAGTGTGTGGGTATGCTACTTCCTATTCTACATTTATGCTTCATGCTAAAGAAAGCCTGGAACCAATACACTTAAGAGTTGCAAACATGGCATGTAGAACATGGAATAAAAGATAGAATCCTGACAGATGTCAAACAGTCTCCGACAGAAATGCTTTCAAATCTATTACAAGCAAGGCCACCCTCCTACAGAGTTGAAGGCACATGAAGACAAATGTTCAAACACCTGGAATGGAATGAAGAGTGGTATTTAGAAGTTTAATATCCTGTTTTCATGAAACCCTTCGCATGATGGAGTGTGTAATGGCTTCTATGGAGCTCGGTTACATTTGATGTGGTTTGGGGTTGCTTTGCAATCTGAGACGTGCCCTCTCCTCTGAGACGTGATCGGCTTTAGGACAGTGTGTTGAGAAAGCTCGGGGCGGGCTCCTGAGGGGTCCAGAAGAGTAGCTCCAGGTTCGCCTGCTAGGTTTCAAATTGCTGCCATGGTTCCTGACAAGTAAACCCATGTGCTGTATTCAAATTTTGAAATTTGCATTTCTTGAAAAATATTTTCATATTAAAGTTATGTTTGGGGTTTTTTTTGAAACCAAGAACAGCCATTCACACCTATGGGTAAAAGTAGCAATAAAAAAGAACAGCTCATCATCTTATGCTATTAAATGATCCTGTGTCTGCCTTTGGATTACTGTAAGTATAGTTCTTAGATTTCTTTCCTCATCATAAAAAGGAACCTTGGTGGTGAGTTACACGTTAAGTTGCTAACCACAAAGTCATCAGTTCAAACCCTGCAGCCTCCCTGTGCGAGAAAGATGAGGTGTCTTCTTCCATAATGATTTACAGTCTCAGCAACCCTATAGAGGGTTGCTATGAGTCTGAATTGAGTCAATGTCAGTGGGCTTGGCTTTGTATGGTTTTTAATCTTAAAATCCCTTTCAGGGCATTCAACAATTGCACAGCGACAAACACAATTAACAAACACTGGAGGTGCATTTTTTTTAGTGACTTGTCTAATCAACTTTTGAAATTATTTTTCTAGCTAAACAGAATGTATCAGAAGCTACAACCATCGAACTGAATATCCTCGCAGACATTACATCACCCAGTTTATCCAAGGAATCACAAGTAGTACCTGACAGAACTACACCCGTCATGCCTTTAATCACTGAGTTACCTCTTCTTAGAACAGAATTCCCGCCTGTAGGAAATATAGTTAATTTTGAACAGACAGCCCCAGGTCAATCGCAGACTCTCACAGATAGCTCAGCCACAGAATCACCCATGCCTCTTGGGAGTACCAAGAAGCCTTTGGATGTGGATCACCTGCCTTCTGCACTAGGGCCACATGGGAAGCCTGACAGATCTGAAATTAAGGAAGAAGTGGCCAAAAGTACAACTGTTATCTCTCATCATACTACTGATGAATGGGATGGTATCACAGAAGACACACACGCTGAAGAAAGGGTTACACCATTTGAACAAATAGAAGTGGGTCCTTTGGTAACTTCTGTGGAAATCCCAAAGCACACTCCTTCTAAGGAATCCTCAGTAACAGAAACTCCATTTCTAGCCACAAGAATGACCGAAGAGCCCAAAACTGAAAAGGAAGCAGTTAGCACTCTTTCTGAGTCAGTGACCACAAGATTCCATGGATTCCCCTTGCGAAGTGATGACGTTGAAAGCAGACCGCTTACAGTTAGACCCAGTGAGGGCACCGTGGTCTTTAGCCAAATACCTGACGTTATTACCGTGTCCAAGATTTCAGAAGACACCACCCCGACTCAACTGGAGGAATCAGAGTCCATCTCGGCTTCCACAAGTGTTTCATCTCTTACTGTGCTTGACAATGACTTATCATCCGTGGACAGCAGGGAAGAGACACAAACTACTGGCAGGATAACGGAGGCTTTCAGGGGCGAGCATGTATCTACTACGCCTTTCCCACCACAACATCAGACAGAAGTAAAACCGGTTCCTTTTACTAGTGAGAAAAAGTTGACAGAGGGCAAAACAACAGTTATTTACGCATCTTCGCACACAGAAATGACACAAGAAAGCAAAAGAATGGAAACACAAAGACCAGGAATTAGAACAGATGCGTACACCAGTGCTGAAATGCAGGCAAAAATCACCAAACATCCATCTACTGGAAAAACAGAAGAGGAATTCTTCTCTGGAATGAAGGTTTCCACAACCCCCTCAGAGCAAATCCGTCCTACAGGCTATTCTGTGGAAATGACCCAAGGTTTTGAGTCTCTGGCACCGACAGCAAAGCCAAGTATGCCGCCCATAGAAGACAAAGATGCGGAGGAATTTATAACGCCTCCAGTTGCACTGGAAACTGATGGCGCTCAAGATACGACCAAGGATGGTGAGGGTTTTACAGCAGGGTATTTGACTCACAGTCCTTTACATGGCGGAGTGGTCACTGTGTCAAAATGGTCAGGGGATGAAGATGATACAACATCAAAGGCTTCTGAGTATGCGGGACCTGAAGGTTCTCCAAGATTGGCCCCTGCTGTACTTACAACCGTAGGAGGGAATGGAAAGAATGAAACCGCAAGATCCACTGAGCATGGAGATGAATTTCCTGTCACTTCAGGTGGTACTCACAAGCCACTCAAGGAGATTACTGAGGGATACTTAACAGACCATGGAAAATTCACAGTTGGGCTTACAGCAACTACACCAATTAGTATTGCGGAAAAGTCAACACTGAGAGATTCTACAACCAAAGAAAGAGTTCCATCTATCACAAGACCTGAAGGCCAAGATGTTTCTATGACGACTGAAGGAAGTGCTTTGGAGGAAGGAGCAGATGTGGATATCTCTACACTGACGTCGACTATTCCCCAGTTCATACCCACTTCAGATGTGGAAGGATTGGCATTTGTTAGGCACAGTAGCACCCAGCAGCCCACTACTTATGTAGACACTGCCCACACCATTCCTCTTTCTGTAACTCCCAAGAAAGAATGGGGCGTTTGGGTAACGTTTGTTCCACCAGAGGATGAACTAGTAGGTGAGCCCTCTCAAGACATCCATGTCATTGAGGAGACTCGCTCAGAAACAACGATTGTGCCTGAAACCAGACGAGCGACAACAGAAATGACACAGGCAACAACTCCGGAAGAAGTTTCCTGGGGACAGCAGACCGCAGAGCTACCGATTCCAGCTCCCAGTGCTACAACAGGAGCTCCCAAGGAAGAAACTGTGGATGAGCAGGAGAGGGATGGATCAGCATACCCAATTCCAGAAGACAGTTGGGTGACGGGTTCTGAGAAAGTCCCCATTTTAGAAACAACATCAGTTGGAAAAATCGAGCATAATACGTCCTATCCACCTGGCACTATAACTAAGCCCAAAGAAAAACTGGATGAAATGGTCACACTAACACCAAGTGTGGGGGCAAAAGTACCTTCACACTCAAGGCCTGAACTAGAACATGAAACAGGAAGTATCAGCCCAAGGGAATTGGAATCACCTTTTCTCCCTTTCAGCACCCGTGTTACACAGCTGATAGAAGAATCCACTACCGAGAAAAGAGTGACGACATCTCTTGAAGACAGTGATTTAGGCTCGGGATTAGTTGAAAAGCCCAAAGCTACAGAGAGCTTTGAATTTTCAACAGTGAAAGCTCTAGTTCCAAGTGATATTCCCACTGCTACCTTTCGCTCCGTGGACGATAACTTTCACCCAACTTCAACCTCTACACTCTCTCCAACATCCACTCAGAAACCTCCTCTGATGGACAGGGAACCCGGTGAAGAGACAACCAAGGATATGGTAATCATCGGAGAATCAACATCGCATGGTCTTCCCACGAGCCCTGATGATATTATAGCTAAGGAAACAGAAGCTGAAATTGATAGAGAGTATTTCACAACTTCAAGTGCTTCTGCACAGCCAACAAGACCACCCACTGTAGAAAGCAAAGAGTCCAGCAGACCGCAAGCATTTTCTACACCAGAACCCCCGCTGGGCCCAAAATTCCACCCTGACATAAATGTTTATATTATTGAGGTCAGAGAAAACAAGACAGGTAAGTTTTTGTTTTCTAGACATGCCATTCAAGGCAATCAGCATTTTAACTTGAACATTACATTGGGGGGGGGGGCGCGGGAATCAACATATCATAGGCTGCTGCTAGAAGATAACTGGAGTGTGAAAGAAATATATATTGTAGCTTTATATATTTGCACCAGAATTGGAAGACTATGTTTGGAAGAGTGTTAGACATGATTTTACTTAAAAGTTAGAAGAAGCCCTGCTTTGTCATCTAATATAACCAAATCATCACTGTTACATCACTTCAGAACATGCAGAACAAAGTGTTTTAATCTCAGTGTCTTTCCATACATTACTACTCAAGTGTAGCACTAGACTGTGTTAACATTCCATTGGTCTTTAACTATTAACCTTCAGCACTTACCATGTGGACAGCTAAAATGATACTGGATACCCCAAGAGTTTAATCGAGTGACACTTTTCGCTTTTCTCTTCCAGGATTTTGCATATTTATTATATTACGTGTGGGATAAGTGATAGGCGCTGTAGTTTAAATGTTGTTTTAATGCAAACTTCACCCATTTTTAAAAGTGTTGTCAGTTTTTTCTTAATGGGGCTTAAATAATTTAGAGCAAGTATAATCTAGTCCAGTGATACTAATTTTATAGTATCACATACTAGCTGTTAAGTATCTTAACACGACTTCTTTCCTACAAACCAGGAGACAATGTTTATTTTGTGATTTAATCATTTTCTCTCTCAAAATCTCTGCGATGCCTATTCTCAAATGTTTTAGCTCTCTGACAGAAGTCCTTAAAGGTGGCTTCTTTCCATTGATTCCCTTGGGCACTTCGTTGCCAGACATGGCGTGTTCTGTTTCAAAGTGGAGCCACACCATATCTCAAAGTTGGTAAGCTCAGTTGAGAATACAGGGCACATATACTTCAATAGAGCAATTCAGGTTTGTTTGTCTTTATTTACTTAATAAACTTATTATTGTGAATTAGGTGGGGGTTTTGTCTCTCTTTAATTTAGAAGTGGAGGTTGCTGGATTTTGTAAGTTGTATTCTAGCTTAATATGAGTATTTGATGAGGTAATTACTGTTTTTTTTTAAAATTTAGCTCTGAGAATGCCTGGTTAGAAGAAAAAGGCTATAGTAGGGTTCTTCTTACTATTGGGCTCATAGCCTCAGGGTCTCCTGTTCCCTGAGGGGGATGTCAGCCTCAGTCAGGTGTGCAGGAGGATACCCGTCGGAAGCAGCAAGTAGTCCTCTTGGCAAGTCAGCTGACTTCTAGGTGGAAGTTTCATGGCTCTTGTAGGCTTCTATGCAGAATTTTCTTGTGCAAGCACTCCTGCAAGGAAGTGGATAATACAGAATGGAATATATTCCCAGAATATTAAAATTAATCCCTACTTCCCAATAGAGTTTAAAGAGGCCAGGCTTGGCACATTATTTTTCTGGTAATGATGCTGTTTCTTGGAAACCACTTTCTTTTTCCACCTCTGGGAACACAAGTCAGAGGAGAAGAGTTTCCAAGCAACCAAGAATGAGGATTTGTTTCTAATCCTGGGAAAAAAGGGATAGGAAGACATTACTATGGAAAAGAAAGCAAAAGGGAAAATAATTAACAATTGAGTTTCCCCCCAAATAATTGCAGTGCTTTTCCCCAACTTATATTACTCTCCTTATTAATCTAGGTAGGATTGTCCTTAGGTACCTTCGAGTCAGTGCTGAGTCACAGTGACGTGCTCTACAACAGAATAAAATGCTGCGTGGCCCGTGCCATCCGTATCACTGTTGCTGTAATTTAGTCCATTGTTTCAGCCCCTGCGTCGGTCCGTCTTCTTCAGAGTCTCCTTTTTTGGGGACTGGTCTCGCCCGATAAACATCAGAAGTGCACGAGGCCGTGTCTCACCCTCCTCAATTCCCGGGGCGTTGGGGCTGTGCTTCTTCAGCCACAGATTGCTTGGTTCTTCTGGGAGCGCATGGCGTAGTCCCTCTTCTCCAACACCATAATTCCAAGATATCAGTTCTTCTTCAGTCTTCCCTAAGTTGAGACAAATAATGTAGAAAGCAGTAAAAATACCCCAAACTTTACAACACTTCTTTGTGGGAAACTCTGTGCTAAGTTTAGAGTGACAAAATTATAAAATGGAAAAAGTGAAACTTGATATTCTTGGAAGAACTGGCAGTCATCACAAAAGCGATCTAAGCTTATAGTTAACTTGAAATGGAGAGTCTGAGCAACTCAATCCAGCACCAAGTTATATAAAGATGCACATTTGAATTTGGACTTCATTCAGCTGGGATATGAATAGATGTTTCTTCTTCTGTTTTAGAACATGGAATGCTAATCGGCCATCACACTATTTCTTGGTCAGCATGACAATAATTTGTCACAGAGTCATTTGGAAAAGGAATGCTTAGTTAACTTTCTTCAGGAGAGGATTACAGTGAGTGAGTGAGTGAGTGAGTGAGTGTGGGCTCATTGGGGTTGGGAAGAGGGAGCGTTATTTCAGTTGAACTGTCTGCTCATCTCTCCTTGTAGTATATATGTATTTATCATCAATATCTATTTTTGTACGATTCTATGTATGCCTTCTCCTTAAGACTTAAAGTGGTATTTATTGTTGGGAGGAGACGATCAGATTTATTCAGATAAAACTGCTTATTCAGACTACTTTTAATTATTTTCTTTGAGAAATTGAATTTTTTAAACACTTTGAAATTTGCCAAGGTAAAGGACTAAACCAAATGTTAAATTAATGAGTTTAAGGCAGGTGCACAAAATAGTAAGGAAAAGTGTGTTTGTATGTGTGTGTGTGTGTGTGTGTGTGTGTGTGTAAAATCAATATTTTTTATGTATCAATGCTCATTTTTCCAGACTGAAAAATCCTTTTGGTATATGTCATGAACTTACCTAAATCTATTCACAAACTTAGAAAGGACTTCTTAAATGTACTGTGTACCAAGAAAGCAAAGTTATCATGTGTGCTATATGAAAGCAAGCCAATCATATATTTTTTTCTTGTACTTGGTAAGCAGAATAAATCTGGATCAACAACAACAACAACAACAACTGTGAAACAAAAGGTGCTACTCAGGACACATGTATGTTATATTTGTTCAAGTGCATCGTGATGGCAGTCAGGGTGCTGTTGCCAGAAGGCAACTATCATTAGCAGTAAAAAAATCTGAAGGAACTTTTCAGCTCATAAAAGTTTTACGAGCTGAAAAGGCTACAGGGTGTGTTTAACCGTGGTTCAAGAGATGTTGAGAACATGGCTCCTGTCTACTTCAGGAGTAATTTGCACACCTGCATTTTGAAAAATCTTTGAAAGGTTTGCTTTGTGAACATGTCTGAAGGCTGCAGGGCTTAAAGATGTAGAAAGAGTTTCTTTAATTATGAAGTTCGTTCTTTCTTGGGAGCACTCCTTCTCTTATAAGAAATAGCACCAGCTAGTGTCACAGAAACTGTGAACGTTTACAAAAGCTGATGTACAGGCAACTTTTACAAATGGAGAAACTAAGGCACAGAGAGGCTAATTTACTAAAGGCCATGTGGCTAGGAGTAGGAAAGCTGAGATCAAGCCTAGGCAAATTGGCTCAACCATCATACAGTAAGCCTTGTGAAAGGTGAAACCCGTGAAGGGTGGAAACCTGTCAGAGGAGGAAAACATACCTTTGCCAGGAAGTGAACCAACAGAAGGTTGAGAAGATGGCACCCCATCAAAGGCAGAGGACGTAGAAACCCAGGAGCCAAGTGAGTTCCATCAAGTTGCGGCTTGCATCGGTTTCAGTGTACCATGGCTACTGAGGACGCTGTCTCTCTTCTCGATCGGCCCTTGACAGCCAGTGCTAAGAGCCTCTTCTGCCAGGAGGGGGCTTCAAAAAGCTTACGGACACATGAGATTAGAAGAGAATGGGATTTTGGCTACAGAATTTTGAAGCCCCTGTATTCATAACATTTAATCCCTTTCCCTAGACTGAGTCACCTGAGATTGGGGTTCTCCCATCATGTGTCCGGCTTTGATGATAATGAGTTATAGCTCCTACATACGTAAGAACAGTAATCACCTTGTATGAAGTCTCTGGGAAATTAGGTTCAGTGACATTCCTGAGATCAAAACAAAGCGAAGATTAAAGTCCCAGTCTTGAAGTATTCTTGAATATGAGAGCTGATCATGAACTATGATCTGGTTCGTTTCCAGAGTGATTCCAGTGAGACGAGTGAGGCCCCTTTCTTTGACCTCCTGACTTCATTTCAGATACTTACTCCTTAAAGCCAACAAACAAAAAAACCAGAGGACATTTGCTGTAAGAGCCTCAGAGGGTTTCCAATATACCATCATCTTTACAGAAGCAGCGTGGCCTATCTTCTCAGGAGTCCGGCTGGTGAATTTGAACTGCTGACTTAATCTCTATGCCACCAGGGTTTCTTGAAAGACAAAGAGTTACCTGTTGACTCCCATGGGCTTGCTGGTTTGTCTTATTTGTTTTTGTTGGGTGCCATTGACTCTGCCTCATAGAGACCCTGGGCGCCCAGCAGCTGAGTGCTCTTGTAGAATCCAGCAGTCATTTTGGGGCTGTGGGTCAACCATTGGGCTGCTAGCCATAAAGTCAGGGAATCAAACCCCACAGCCCCTCCTTGGGAGAAAGATGAGGCTGTCTGCTACTGTAAAGTTTAAAGTCTGGGGAACCTTGTGTAGCTGTGAGATGAGTTACCGCCAGAACAGCGGGGCTTGGACAGTTCATGGAAACTGGACCTGCTCAGCTGACTTTCTCGGCGTGGGGCGTGTTCTCAGCGCCTTGCTATGCTTCAGTGATCCGTGCTTTATGAGAAAGAGCACTTCTGTAGGTTGGGCATGGTCAGCGTTTCAAAATACATGCCCGTGGAGGATCACAGTTCAGCAGTGCACCCTTGTAGAGTTAATGGTAGAAACTCCTCTTTAAAGAGTGCCTGTGCATGCTAATAGGTGATTTGCTGGTTTACGGCATTTAATTCAAGTGAAAATTGGTATTGGTAAGATTA